TTTCGTTGTTAATTTAATGAAGTATTTCTGCCATCTCCTCATGAGCTATATGAAAATCTCAGGAATGTGTAAGAAATTGAGCACTCTAATAAGGACGCAGTGAACATACTTGAAGCATTTGTTCTCTGAGGCTACAATTAAACTCAAATCAACTACGTAAACACTCCTAATGCTCTGCAACTATTCTTTTTCTAAAGATATTTTAGAAAGTTTTTTTTTTTAATTTGGCAACTATCTCCAAACCTGATCACAATTTTATTTCTTATTTTAGCATATAAATTTGCTATTGTTTCCTAAATAATGTTATGGTAAGCATTTAAAACAATTACACAAGATATTTAACATTTTTTTTTCTGATGGCTTAAAGTTATTATACAAAGAAAATATTCAAATATTACCAATAAGTAGATATATAGATAAATTCAGATTATAAATCAAAGTAGAAAAGGGACAGATTTACTCATATAAACCCACACTAAAGCTCTTCACCAGATAAGAATTATTAATTGAGGACTTTAGTCATTTTCTTTACATTTCAGTAAATCAAGTTACATGTCTTTAATTTTACAATATGGAGAAACTCTAAAATTAAGAAGTTTTTTTCATGAGATGCTAGAGTTAGAAATGGAGCTCTCCTCAGCATCTCTTTTCTCCAGAGTATGAAAGACATCTGAACATAAAACATTCATTTCTAACTACATGGCATTTGACTTCTATAATGCAGTTTACACTGTTATTATTTGAAATATATGAGAGGCAGTTTGGGGCTTTAAAAAACAGGGTTTTTTTTTTAGTGAAGCAAAACTGAATTTAAATTCTGGATCTGCCACTTTATCACTATGTAAACTTGGCCAAATTCCCTGTCTGCATCTTGACTGTAGAATGGGACTAATACTGCAGCCTCATTAGGTTTGTTACAAAAATTGGGGGCATATTATTATGTGGCCCCCTGGCCCACAGATAGCAAGCAATAGTCACATGATGCAGGATCACATTTTCAGAAAGCTCTCTAGCTGCTCTTGTGCATCATAGGAGTGCTCATAAGTCAGTAGCTACTGAGGAAATTCCTGAATTCCATTTGCAATATACCAGCAAGTGAGCACAACCTTTTAAAATAAAGGTTTCTTCACTTTTGGTAAATAGCCCAGTTTTGATTTTTATTTTTAAGAGAGTTGATGGTGATATTGCTGCAAATTGCACATCCTTGTTTTGAGTTAAAAGAGACAAAAGCGGGACATGGTCTGCTCTTAAAAATCTGAAGAATCTCTTATTAACAGTTTAGAAAATCGAAATACAAATGACAAGTCGGGAAGCTTTTCACAAATGCCTGTAAGGCTAAAACTCCCTTTCATTATCAATTCTACAGACTTGGAGTTAATTGCGTTTCAGGGCACATGGCAAGGTACATCTTTTCAGTATGCACTTCCTTAATTAGTACAAACATTTGGTCCCTGGGAAAGGTAGAAGAATAAGGATTGCTTTTGTATTTGTTAATGTTTTCTGTTTTTCATTCCCTGTTAGCACCTAGAGGCCCATGTGAACGACACATTTTTATTAAAATCAAGAGCAAATATTATGTAAATTATGCCCCCAAACACCAGCTATGCAGTCTGATTATTTTAAGAGAGCTTCCTTTGGAAGGATTCATTTTAGTTGTCTAACCAAAACAAAGCAGAAAGAAAAATGTACATTCTAATGGATCTGTGCTTCTCAATATCTGCATTTAGAGACATATACCCATCACTTTTGCATAACAACAACTGGGCATATGTGTGTGACATACCCGGTGTTCAATTAAATGCCCTCAGTAATATAGAGCAACTAAGGAGGCAAACAGCACTATAAATGGGACAATTACATATAAATAATTTTTGCTAAATAAAATGCCTATGTTGAAACATTCATATGAATATGCATATATGTGAAACACACATGCTGGTATGCATTGCCCCAAAATATTTTTCAGCATTTTCCATGAGTATAAGTAGCACCCCAATTTTACCAGCATATCAGTTTGGTTTATTCTGTGTGAGGGTTTTTTGACCTCAGCACTATTGATATTCTGGACCAGAAAATTCTTTGTTGTGGGGACTCGCTTGTGAGTTGTAAGATGTTCAGGACCACCCCTGACTTCCGCCTGCAAATGGGAATAATATTCCTCCCTCAGTTGTGACAATCAAACACTTCTTCAGACATTGCCAAATGTCCCCAGATGGGGGGGGACTTTGAGGTTTCCCAGGTGGCTCAGTGATAAAGAATCTGCCTGCCAATGCAAGAGACACAGATTCCATCCCAGGGTCCGGAAGATCCCCTAGAAAAGGAAATGGAACACACTCCAGTATTCTTGCCTGGGAAATCCCATGGACAGAGGAGCCCAGTGGGCTACAGTCTGTGGGGTTTCAAAGGAATTGGATTCGACATGAATTAGTAACTAAATATCAAAAGCGGGGATTTTGCCCTTGGATGACTACTGTTTATGTGGAATCAGTGTTTGTTTGTTTGTTTATTGGGATATATAGAAGCAACACTGAGAGAAAGTCTGTCACTGACCTCAATTTTTCCTCCTTGGCCTATCTTTTGGGAACATACATTCCTCCCTTCATAGCATTTTGACATTTTGAAAATCCATTATTATTTATTTTGAAATGTACATCTTCCTATCACTGTGTTTATTAAACTCATTCATGCATCTCTGATTTCTCTTTTTCCCCCACTGACATTGCTGTCAGTATAAATTTCCAAGACGTTAGCTTAGTGCAAAGCCTTTGTACAATCTCTCTTGAGCTTCTTTTTACAACCTCATTATTTGCCATTCCCACACAGGTAACCTAAGCTCCTTGTGTACACAACAAACTGCTGTTATTTTCCCTATTCTTCGCCTGTCTAATCCTTAACCTGCGTTTTGAACCTCAATTCAATCTTCCTCAACTCATTCCCTCTAGAAGATATCAGGCACACTTGTTCCCTGCATTTGTATTAGATCTTTGTTCTCTCTCTCCACTGGACTTCAAGCTGCTGTGTGTGTGTATGTGTTTAATTTCTTTATCATGAGGGACATTATAATATTTGCATATGATACAGTGCTTTAGATATCACTTTAAAGTCCACATACCTCCTGCTGCTTTTAACTATAAATATAGAATGTATCGTTGATACCAAGCTTTAGTTTTAAAAAGAAAGTCTTACCCGTGTTTATCAAATATTTTCACATCAAACTCACAACGTGAAATATTTTTATTCTCAAAAGATGTTGGCTCCTTTAGGCAAATGACCACTGATTTATAAGTATCCTTTATAATGCTTGAAGAAGGAAATGGCAACCCACTCCAGTAGCCTTGCCTGGAGAATCTGACGGACAGAGGAGCCTGGTGGGCTGCAGTCCATGGGGTTCCAAAGAGTCAGGCATGACTGAATGACCAACACTTACACACTTTATAATGCTAGCTTTTAATGTAGTTAGCTTTAAAGACACATTTTCCTTATGAAATGCATATGGCCGTCTATGGAATGATGAAGCATAGTGGGTTTTCCTGTTTTTGGACAAATAAGCACATCAACTTATGCTTGCAACCCTTAATTAAAGATCAATGCTCACAACTGAGTTCATTCATTTTGTTTTGTATACTTTGCCTATCCTGCTTCTAGCAATGTTGAGTTCTTGCTCTCAGTGTGACAGAAGGGTTGTCAACAGGGTGATTTTTCTACATTCACAAATGAAACAGAATTGTTTAATACATAACTTTGTGCTCTGAACATTGTTTCTCTCCATGCGTAAGTGTTCTGGTCATTTCTTTTAAACTTAAGAACAATCATTCTTATATAACAGGAAATTGAAACTGTTTACAATGATTTCATAGATTCTGAGGAGACTATTTATCATACTAGCTTTTGTTAAAATGCATGAGAACTAAAGAGAGTGAGAATATAACCTTGATGGGATAAAGTAGACAGATTTGTTAAGGATTTCAGACATTCTAGGGCCTTAGAATTATCCAAGGGTATATATACAAGGTAACTAAAGAGTTTTATATATTTACATAGTTTTTTGATTTTTATCATAATTAAGATACAAATCTTTATGATTATGCAAGGAAAGCTTTAATTACCTCTATGCATGACATGCCACAATAATGTTAGTGAACACTTACTGTATTAAGTATTTTGTCAATATAATTTAATTCTGTCAACATATTCATGCAACATTATTATTTCTTATTCATTTACTTAATATTGAGAGTTAGCAAGGTTAAATGACTGTATAAGATTACACAGCTAGGAAATCAGATCACCAGAATTTTCACACTGGTCTTCATGTCATTAGAGATGAGTCTCTCACCTGACTTAAGCTCCAGGAGTTGTGATGGACAGGGAAGCCTGGTGTGCTGCAGTCCATGGGGTCGCAAAGAGTCAGATATGACTGAGCGACTGAACTGAACTGAACCTGCCTTGGACAAGTTAGCATTTATTGAGTGGCTATTAGATGCAGGCAACTTGTCTTGGAACTTAAAGCACATTGCTTGATAAATAATCATAATAACTCTGAGAGATAGATATTAGTGTTCATCTTTTAGAAATAAGGGTAGATAATTTCCTAAAGGTTTACCACATTATGACAGAATAAGGACTCAGATATGAATGCTATTCCCAAATGCTCACTTTTTTTTTCACTGTATTTATATTTCCTATTACTGAGGTACCAAAGAGTTTATATTCTGTACTTATATATTCCTCTATAAATTTTTCCAGTCAATAATGCCCTCATTTATTATCAAACAAAAAAAAATCATCTGTGTGGTCACCAATATATTCATAAAGATAGCTGTATGTATTCTAAATTTGACAGAAACCCATCTGTTATTTACTCAGTTAATGAAACAGTTGATACTATCATTGAATTGCATTAATGGAAAATAAATATTTTAAATATTATTTATCTATTTAAAATTATTATCAGAGATACTAAAATCTTTATATGTCTAAAAGGAGAAAGTATACCATACCTTACTAAGCTATTAGCACTGTCAGGATCTTGGGCCAAAACTGTGCCAACAACTGTCCCGATCTTGGCATTTTCATAGACTTCCATGACATAGGAAGGCATGGAAAATAGTGGTGGTTCATCTACATCCCCGACAATGATCTTCAGCATGGTAGCATCTTTAAAAGGACCCAAGTGAGAAAAGCGAAAATCAAGGTGTGTATTGGCTCCTTCTATGTTGAGGGTATATGACTTCTTTTTCTCATAGTTCAGTGGCTGTGGGGAAAAAATAAGATTTCCAATATTATGACTCCCATCACTTTTCAAACAAACATTTCCTTTTCCATTTTTGAAACAAACAAACATGGATATGTTTAGGTCTATCTATTCACTCATAAACAAACTATGAAGTTTGTCTTAGCAGTAATATCTAAAGCAGAAATCATGGAAACTCGAGTCTGAAACAATAGTGATTTTTCACAGCCATAAATATGATGATAGTTAGGGACAAAAGAGTATTTCCCCCAGACAAGCTAATATCACTTTCTGGGGAATCTCTTCAAGCAACTTTTTTCTATCTCCTCTTTGACTTAAATCACTAATTTTTAAAACATTTAATGTGTGCATGTTCAGTCTCTCAGTTGTGTCCAACTCTTTGTGACCCCATGGACTGGAACCCCCAAGGCTCCTCTGTCCATGGGATTGTACCAGTAAGAATACTGGAGTGTGTTGCCATTTCCACCTCCAGGGGATCTCCCCAACCCAGGGAGGGAACTTGCATCTTTTGCATTGAAGGTGTATTCTTTGCCTCTGAACCAATGGGGAAATGTTTGCTACCAATCTGCTAAATTGAAAAAGTATAGTTTTTTGGGTTTGTTTTGTACTTAATCTATCTTGTACCATTGATTTTTATCTATCATCATCTTATTTTTACCTTGCTGGTCTTAAACTTTATATTTTAATATCTGACAAATGTTTAAGCTTTCAATTAACATTCTCTTGAAATTTAGCAAAAGGTTTTATACAGACTTCTAAAGTTCATTTTTATGGTTTTAATTGTAATCATTTACTTTTTTTTGCTTGTAATACCATTTCATATATTTATTTTGGTTTTCATTTCCTTTATTATGATATTTTGATCAACTTTGTTTTTTCAATTGTAGTATTCTGCTTGTTTATACCATTTATCTTTTTAGCTTTGAATCGACATTAATAGTTTCTCTGTATCTTTCTAGTTATTTTTTCTTATTTTAAAAAAAACATCCAGATAATATTTATGTATCTTCTATTAATATATTTATCAGGAGCCATGAATTTGACTTCACATACAATAAGGAAGAAGTAGATCAATCTTGGTGTTTTTGTCCAAGAGAATACATAGTCTGTTATAGGATACAAAATAGTAGACACATTCATAGCCCTGGACACTTAGTGATATGTGACATTATAGGCATTATGAACAGCAGCCCACTCCAGTAGTCTTGTCTGGAAAAGCACATGGACACAGGAGCCTTGTGGGTTACAGTCCATGAGGTTGCAAAGAGGAGGGCATGACTTAGCAACTAAACATCAACATCAGGCATTATGAAAATAATAAGGATGCAGACTTAAGAAACAAGAGCGTATGAGTCAGTAGGTAGTATTTCCAAGAGGAAGTACCTTTATGGGTAATGACTAAACATTTGAAAATGTTAAACATGAGGAACATAACAGGTTCTGTGATCCAAAGTTTGCTTAGTTATAGGATTAATCTTGCTGAAAGTCTCCATGGTGATGTTAGTGCAGGCAATGCAGAGATCAACCTGCAGAAATACCTATAGATTAACATCTATGAGAAAAAAAAAAAGAAAAAAACTATAGATATTTTTCCATCCCTATTTCTGCAACTGATTTTGCAGTAGTCTGCTTCAATCTTTCAGTATTCTTTCCTGGCAGCATCAGAGAATGATCATTCCCTAGGGAGGACATCAGATATTTTCATTTTCCCTAAGGCCCAAGGAGAAGCTATAGAGTATATTTAATGGGATTTTATAAGCAGAAAGGCAGTCCTACTGATGATTATTTCTCTTATCTCTTCTGAGTTGCCTTGAAAAATTGGCCTTCCCAGGGTTGGAGATTGTATAGAAGGAAAAACAAACATTTAAAAAAGACACTTGGTCCTTGGGAGAAAAGCTATGACAAAACTACACAACATATTAAAAAGCAGAGACATTACTTTGCTGACAAAGGTCTAAATAGTCAAAGCTATGGTTTTTCCAGTGGTCATGTATGGATGTGAGAGTTGGACCATAAAGAAAGCTGAGTGCCAGATAATGGATGCCTTTAAACTGTGGTGTTAGAGAAGACTCTTGAGAGTCCCTTGGACTACAAGGAGATCCAACCAGTCAATCCTAAAGGAAATCAGTCCTGCATATTTATAGGAAGACTCATGCTGAAGCTCCAATAGTTTGGCCACCTGATGTGAAGAATTGACTCATTCGAAAAGATGCTGATGCTGGGAAAGACTGAAAGCAGGAGGAGAGGGGGACAAGAAAGGATCAGAGGGCTGGATGGCATCACCGACTCGAGTAAACTCCAGGAGTTGGTAATAGACAGAGAAGCCTGACGTGCTGCAGTCCACGGGGTCACAAAGACTTGAACATTACTGAGTGACTGAACTGAACTAACTGAACTTTCAAACAAAAGTTGGTCCAGACAAAAGTTGGTCCTAATAACAACCAAGAACAAACAATACTTCTCAGGGAAATAGATAAGAAAACAAAGTGTTTATAAAACAAAATAAAATATTAAAAATATTAAAAACTCAAATTATTAAATGTGAACCATATATACAATACATATATATTTATATATGACAAAATATTATGCATTTCAGATTTACATATTTTAAAGAAGAGAAACCAGAGTATCACTGGAAGGACTGATGCTGAAGCTCCAAAACATTGGCCACTTGGTGCAAAGTGTTGGCTCATTGGAAAAGACCCTGATTCTGGGAAAGATTGAAGGCAGAAGGGGATGACAGAGGACAAGATGGTTGGGTGGCATCATCGACTCAATGGACATGAGTTTGAGCATACTCCAGGAGATAGTGAAGGACAGGGAAGCCTGGCATGCTGCAGTCCATGGGGTTGCAAAGAGTAATACACGACTGAGTCACAGAACAACAATTTTAAAGAAAGGCTAATTGATCTGCAGCTTATGACCCACTGAGTGGGAGTCATTTCCTTTTCAGAGAATTGAAGCTAGAGATGAATTGCCAGTATATCTAACATCCATCTTGTTTGGGGACTTGCATGACTTTTAGTTAGACTCACAGATTCACTGCACTTTTCTTTCCTTGACTCCTTTCTCCTTAACATTAGTAAGTAAGAATCTGTTTTGGAGTAATTCAATAAGTTTCATCCAAATTTAAATGACCTCTCCTCAAAATGGTACACAATCGCTGCCTGTCAAGAATTAGGTTCATGGATATGGTCCCCTTGGCACAGAGAAGCAGAGACTGTCAGAATCCAGATATTTGGCTCATGGAAAGCAACACCTTTGACAGGTTTACTACTTGTTGAAAATCAATGTAATTCTTTAGACTTAACCCACTGCATCTGGTAGACTTTATAATGACTAAGGTTCACTGAGAGTCAGAAAGACTTTCAATGTAACTTGTGGAGATAATTTTAGCCACCTCTATCCCATCAGATATTATTATCAAGATGTGCATCCAATACAACAGGCATATCTTTTTCCATTTTTAGCAGATCCCCTGGCAAGTTAGATGTCATTTATCTTAACACTGGCCTACTTTCTGCTAAGGTACAAGTTGTTCATGGGAACACATGGTTTCATGTTTATGATTATCTCACATATATTTAAGCACCCCAAGAAAGAGATGGTCATTTTAAAGGACTTGTTTGTCAGATCTGGCAGATGGATGGATAGGACCCATCTCAAGTCACTAAGGAAAGAGAGAATATTTTGGATCAGGACAAAATTTCAGAAGCAGATGAATTAATAACACACATGGAGATAGTTTTAGTAACCTTATTTATAAAGAAAACACTGCAGTACTAAATTGCAAATTAGAGAAAATGGAAATAAATGACACTTTTTGAGGATTTTGTTTTTGCAGGATTATGTATACAAAATAAAGTATGTTAATTGCTGGTTTTGTATTAAAACAAAGAATATATAATAGTACATACAGAAATAATTAGGATTATAATTTTTTCCCATTTACTGTAAATTCTGGCAATGCCGTCCAAGTACATGTTATTCACACACTGTAAACAGATCACTCAGTATTTTCCTAGTAATCTTTTGTTCCCAGGAAATTAGTTAGAACTCTGTCTAGGGGTTTCATTTTTCATAGTTACAAGATTTTGATTTTTATTATGTGAAAGTAGTCTATCAAAAACAATAGGCCAAGAACAGTGAAATCTATTCATCTAATACCTAGTTTTGATTAAAAGATGAAGGAAAAAAATTTAAAAACATACTCAGTTTATAAAAACACCAAAGAAGCAAAAAAAAAAAATGCATGTTTAGCTGAGAGTATACAAAACACACACTTTTCCTATATTAAAACAGCAACCAATTTAAAAAAATGGATACAGAACAAATTCATATGTGTGAGGCATAGTAGGAAATTGATTAGGGCAAATATAGAACCAGAGATTGTTTATGAGCATAATAAATGGCTTTTTCCAACTATACTATGCTAAAATTTCAACTGCCCATGCCTGCAGTTTTGGGGGGCAGGATTCTGACATTTGAATTGGACAGAAGATTAAAACAATCAACCCTTTTGAGCCACTTGGCAACTCTTGGAAAGATGAGCCTCCAGTTTTTGATAGTGTTCACCATTATTTACTCCTAGATTTTGCCTCACCAAGATATTTGATGTGTCTATAATTTGCATACAGTTTATCCCATTTGACAAAATATCAGACCCATGCCAAGTTTTTTTCTTTCTTTCTTTCTTTTCAAAACTGTAAGTCTGGATTACTAATTCAGTATTTAAGATGAGAAACAGGTAAGTCTAAGGGAAAGGTGTTCTACTGGAGATTACAAACATAATCAATATTTAAGGAGAAATATTCCAGGAACTCTATCAGACTCTGTTTTCTTTTTTTTTTTTTTTGCCTTGGCCTTAATTCCCTGAATTGCTCTTCATTATGGTATAAGTTTTTAGAGTCAGGAACCAAAGCTACATCATCACTGATGCTCACAGTTAACAAATGTGCTCATTGAAGGACTGATGCTGAAGCTGAAGTTTTGATACT